CAGCTTCTTCACCTACCAGTCAGAGTGGCTCCATTCTGGCCAATCAGGACAGTGCCTTTTGGACACTGGTCAACTTCATTCCCTCCTCTGTCAGACAGACCCACCCCTGGGAGATTTAAGTGGGGGGGGGGGGAGATGGGGGGGATGATGTCCAGATTCCTGTAAACCTAGTGTCTGCCTCTGAGACCAAGTTCTGCACCCAGGAAGGCAGCAGACAGGGTCCAGGCAGGCGGAGGGAGCCCCACACTGAACCCAGGCCTAGGCTGGGGTGGGGGTGCCAGTCCATGGTCCCCATAGAGACCCCTGGCCCCTGGCAGAGAACAGGAGTCCTGCACTTGTGGGTCTAAGAGCTTAAATTATTTTTGCAAATCATTTTCAAACTTCCAAAGATAATGTAGAAACTGTCCATAGGTTTTCATGAGCTGTTTAACCAGGTGAGGTGGCGCTCTTGCTGACGGCTCCTCACCTCTGCCCACCTCTGCCCCGGCTGCCTGCCCTCAGTGGGGAGCCATGCGGAGGAGTCTCAGTCTCTGGAGAAGCCAGTGGCACTGTCCCCCCACATGGAGCTGGAGCTGACAGCAGCCGGGGGTGGCACTGGGTAGCTCAGAGGTGACCTGGTGAGGGACAGGCCAAAGGTCGGAGCCACACTGGGAGCAGGCAGGGACAGCACCCATCCGTGGTCCTGTCTGTTTGGGCACTTTCTCCCCTTCGTCTCTGAGCCCTCCTCGGAGACCCTACCAGGAAGGTGTCAGAGCGACCCACACACCATTTTTTATTCTTCCGAACACTGACAGCATCACCGCCAGTCTCGCCGCCCCTGCCCCCTACGCCTGCACGTCCCCTGGGTGGCCTGGCCTGAATCACGGTCCCATGAGGGGCCCCTGCAGGCGCGGGGCTCGGGCAGCAGTTTCTAGGCCAGGGAGGAGCTCTGTGGGCTCGCACCAGCAGCCTGGTTAGTGCAGCTAATTTCAGAAAGGTGTTGGTCCCCTGGGGCCCACTCTGGAGGGCACGCTGCCACTGCCTCTCGAGTGTCCCCTCCCACCGTGACTCCGTGGGGCCTCTGAGCGTCCTGGACCTGCCGTCCCCCCCAGGAGGACACTGGACAAGTTTGGGACCCAGGAAGGTGAAAAATAGGAGTCACAGGTTCCCCCACTCTCACCAAGGGGTGGCTTCACGGGCTCACACAGCAGACGCTCTTCAGCTTGGCCACCGAGCGCAGCTGTGGCCTTCATCCTACGGGCCTGGCTGAGGCAGCACAGTGACCGAGTCTGAGCCCCGAGTGTCCCCACAGCCGCCCAGAGACCTTCCGCACCGCACTGGGGGAGCTCGGAACCTGTGCCCACAGGCTCCCGCCTACAGGCCGGCCACGTGGGCCGAGGACGCCCAGGTGAGCTCCGGTTTGGGCCTGAGCCCTGCCGGTGCTTCTTAGTGGATTTCAGCTGTGACCACATTGAGCTTTGACTCCACTGCGGAGGACTTCAAACAGCACCTGCAGCAGCTCCTGGAGCCGACCACGGGCCCACACCTAGCCAGGCCACACCAGGGCTTCTCTCGGGAGATTCTTGGGGCCGTCGGGCCAGAGCCTGTCCTGGGTGCCCGGTTCTACCCATGCCCTCTGAGGGGAAGGCATGACTGGGTAGTGGGGATGGCCAGCCTGGGTCTCAGTCCCAACCTTGAGCCAGTCTTTGGGGGCCGACCAGGACCCCTGCCCTGAGCCTCCCACCAGTGTGAGCAGGGCCCCCGCCCCTGGCAGCCCAGTCAGGGCACCTGAGGGGCCTGGCAGGCAGATGAGCACAGGCCCTGGGGGGTGAGGAGGTGGGGGAGGGGTGGGGGCAGAGAGGCCAGCACTGAGGCCAGCACTGTAGCCATCTGCCCTGAGAACACAGATGCCCTTGCTCTAAGCTCCCCATATCCCCAAATCCATAATAAAAATAATCCCTAATTTCCCTGATTTGCCCCAGTTCCAGAGTGCCGCCTGAGCTGTCATCATGTGCCTGCTCCAGGGGCCGAGGCATCACTGACCCCTTTTACAGAATCACAACAGAAAGGACCAGGTATCTAAAGGGGCAGGGGGCACCACGTCCTGCCTTCCGGGGGCGGGGGGCAGGGAGGTGAGGGGGAGCCAGAGTGGCCAGCCGCAGGGGATCTGGCCACAGGAGCTCCTGCTAAGGGCCTGGGAGCCTTGGGCTCTGGCCTCCTTAAAGACCTTGGTTAGGGAGCTGGGCCCTGCCACCTGGGGGCACACCCAGGATACGGCCTGGCGCCTGCATCGCCCAATGACCCCGGGGACACAACCTCCCTGAGAGTGCACACCCAGGGCATTGTCAGAGAAGGGGGTGCAGTCTTGGCCCTGATGGCGTCTGCCCTGAAGATTGAAAGGCAGGACAGGACTGCATCACCCAGGGCCAGAGCTGACCTGGAAATGCATCTGCCACCCCTGGAGGCTGGCCAGGCTAGGCCGAGTCCCCAGGGTCAGCTCAGCCCTGAGGAGGGCGGGTGGAGGGTAGGGGCGGTGCCAGAGCCTGGCCCCAGGTGGCAGGAGTGGGCGGGCACCTGCTGGGCTCTGCCTGTGCCAGGCTCACTCGCCCATCACTTAGTCTTCACAGTCACTTTGTCATCATTTCTCCCTCACCATCACCGCCCAAGGTAAGTCTGATGAACTGGTCCCTGAGGCTGAGCAGGGAACTGAAGCCCAGGGTTCTGAGACTTGCCCAGGTCCCTGACCTGGACAGACCCAACCAGAGACGAGGCGCCCCTGCCTGTCTGTCTTCCAGGGGAGGACAGCCGCCTGAGTGTCCCAAGGGACCAGGCCTGGTGGGGAGGACCCCTGTGCTCAGGCGGGTGGGGCAGAGCAGCTTACAGGAAGGGGAGCCAGGTCCCCCCGTGAGCGACACTCGCCGCCCCCCAGTGCCCACCAAGCACTGTTGGGGGCGGGGCGGGCTGTGGGGTGGGCACAGTGCGTGGGACTGAGGCCAGGCTCAGCAGCGGCTTCACACAGGCAGGGCCAGACGGAGGAGGGGGCTGTGGACAGGGCCACTGCAGTCCCCCGACAGGGATGCCCACATGTCTGTCTGCATGAGAGCCTGCTGTGGGGGTTGGGGTGCTGGAATTGGGGTCTCTGGGAGAGGAGCCTGCAAACCCCCTCCTTGACTGCCCCTCAGATACCCTGCTCCCCAGGCTCTCATCCTCACTCCTGGCTGACCACCCCACGACCCCCTCCCGGTCTGTGCACTCTCCCCAACCACCACAAGGACCAGGACCCACCCGCCTCACTCACTCACTCACACACACACACACACACACACACACACACACACCTGTCTCCATGAAGACAGCCTGAGGCCACAGGGTCATACTCCTGTCAGCCTGCGGACGCCCTGCCCACCCTCCCAGTCAAGAAAGCCAGACCATTGGTTCCCAGCCTCAGTGATGGGGGTAGTGACGGGGGGAGTAGGGGCAACAAGGGACTCCCTGGGCCCCTGGAGTGAACTGGGTGGGGGACTTACAGAGCAACTTGCCCTCATGTCCCCCCAACCGCTGGATCTCCCGAGAGGTCTCAGCCTGCGACTTTGCCAGGTTGGTTCACAAGCAGAAACTGGGCCGATGTTTGTGAAGTTCCAGGGGCAACACTGGGCAGCAGCTGTTCTGAGTCCTGACCTCCAAGATCCTCAGCACCCCAACCCCCAGCCAGAGATGCAAAATGCAGTCAAATCCTCCAGCCCCAGGATTAACGTGCCCGCAGGGGGGGCTTTGTCCATGCAAAGTAGGGGAAGGCACAGGCAGGGTCCTGCCCTTTGCATGGTCTGGGCTACACCTCTGCCACCAGGAGTGGGAAGCGGGCCTCACAGGGGGGCGGGTTGGTGTGGGCTCTTGGGAACCTGTCTTTGCTGTGTGCCGGTCCTGCTATCTCCCGTCTCCAACCCAGAGGCCCAGCCATGGTGAGGCTTTGATTGGGTGGGGAGGCAGAGCTAAGGGTGGAAAGTTTGCTCTGCAGCAAATTAGCCCCTGGGGACAGGGCAGTCTAATGGAACCTCATTAGTGGAGCCTCAGACCCGGGCCCTGCACCCCAGTACTGCCTGTGTGGATCTGGGGAAGCCTGTGGGGCTGGTGGTGCAGCCCCTGGGGACCTCCCCAGGCAGTGGGTTGTCATTGTGCAACGACAGGGCTCCCTCCTTTCCTGTGGGGGTCTCATCGGTGGGAGAGACCGTCTGGGGGCTACTGCAGGCTGGAATCTCTATCGCCTCTTCGTGTCCTCCAGCTCCAGGCTGGCCACTTCCGAAGCCCCCGACCCCATGGAGGAGTGGGACGTGCCCCAGATGAAGAAGGAGGTTGAGAGCCTCAAGTACCAGCTGGCCTTCAAAAGGGAGATGTCATCCAAGAGCATCCCTGAGTGAGTCCCCAGGACCCCAGAGCCTCAGCCTCACCCCACCCAGGGCCAGCTGTTGATTTGCATCTCATTTCCCTATCCTGTGCTCATTTGCATAAGCTATGATCAGACCCTCATGTGTAACACTGGGCAGCACTTGAGGGGCAAGGTGCCCACCTGCTCATCCCAATCTCCCCACCCACAGGCTCCTCAAGTGGATCGAGGAGGGGATCCCCAAAGACCCCTTCCTGAACCCTGACCTCATGAAGAACAACCCGTGGGTGGAGAAGGGCAAGTGTGCCATCCTGTGAGACCCCCAGCCCCAGGCGCATGCCTTTGTGAAGAGGACAACTCGGTAAAGGTGTGACTTTTATAAAGACTTCCCGGTGCTCCCAGAACGCCTTTCCTTCCCCCTCTTCTCCTAAACTCTAAGGAGCCCCATGAGGCTCGCAACCAGGGGAACAATGGCCAGGGGCGAACCCCCTGAACCTGTCCCCAAGGCCCCCTTTTCTTGGACTTTCCAGTGAGCTGACAGCAGCTGGGCCTTGGCTCCCTTCTGTCGCTGACTTTCCGTTCTCAGTGAGCCGAGAGCCCTGCCTAGGCTCCCTCCTGTTGCTTAAGTCCTACGCCATTCCTGTGTCACTGTCCCCAGCTTTAATAATGTCCTCTCAAAATCCAAATAAAAAATAACAGAGAAAGCAACACCAAGGGGTCCAGTGTGGATCTGGGGACATCCAGCATGACCTTGGGTGCCTGGTGTCGATCTGGGTGTCAGTCATGAACACTGGGGCATCCGGTGTAAATCAGAGCATCCAGCACGGACCTGGGGTATCCATGGAGTGGGGTGTCTGGTGTGACCCAGCTACAGCAGGTCCCTGATGTGCAGGTTGCGTCGCACAGCGTTGGAGACGCCCTCCTTGAAGCGGAACCAGACGTCGCTCCTGCCCACCGCAGTGCCCATGCGCTGCTCGACCGCGTCAGTCTCAGGGGCTGTGTTCTCTGTGGGGGCCACAGGGTTGATCCTCTGCCCGACCCCAGCCCCTCCCTCCACAGCTCCCACACCCACGCACACCTGCACTCAGGGCTGCTGCTCTCCTGATGACCACACGGCCGAAGAAATCCCTCTCGGTCTGCAGAGGGTGGGTGGTCAGATTCAGGGGGACAGACACATCCGGGACACTCCCTGCCGTGAGGGAAAACTCTCCCCGGGAGGATGGGCCTCGTGGCGCCTCTGCACCGTGGCCCACGGCTGAGGAGTAGACACTTCTCCCTGCCCCTCCCCTCCCCCTGTACCGACCCACTCAGCAAGGGTCCCCTCTGCCCCTTACCACCCTCACAGCTGCCTGGTCCCTGTCAGGGCCAGGGCAGGAGGTGCCAACAGAACCCACCCTCCTGCCCAAGTGGGACTGAGCCCAGGTGAAACCCGACCTTGCTGAGCAGCAGGGACTGGACCTTTAGGTGGGTCCCTCAGAGCTCAGAACCAGCCTGTACCAAGGTAACACAGCCCCACCCCCGTGCCCCCTTCCAGCCCCCAAACCTGGTCCTCCAGGGCTGCTCTCTTCAGGATGCGCTCCAGCCGCTGCTCGTGGCCGCGTGGGGTGGGTGGCTGTGCCCCTTTCCCCCCAGCAGCCCCCTGTGGGCCCTTGGCCTTGGGGGGACTGCCATCCACCTGCAGGAAGTGGATGTGATGAGAGCTGACTGGGCAGGGCCATTCCAAGGGCAGGATCCACCCTACAAGGCCCTGCTTTGCCCGAAGCCAGAGGTGGGCTCACCTGGGGGCTGTCCCCATCTCGGGCCAAGGCCTCTGCCCGCCGCATCCCCTCCATTTCATCTCGCGAGTACTAAGCTCCTCCGGCTCTCGTCAGTTCCTTTAGGGCAGGCAGTTGAGGGGAGCGGCAGACCTCCTCCAAGTTCCTGCTCGAGGCGGGGGGGAGGGGGGGGAGGGGGGGGCAAGACAGGCACCTGCTCAGTATAGTAGCAGGGCACCCACCACAATGACTCCAAATGCCAGAACGAGAAAGCTGCAGGACAGGGACCTCCCTAGGGCTACAAAGGGAGGGAATGAGACAACATGGCAGGGCTGGGCCTCAGGCTGGGCTTCGTGCTCAGAAACCGCCATTACTGCCTCCTTGCCATCGGCACAGAGAAACACCTGCATCCCAGACACTGGGGCCCTGTCTGGACAGCAGGACCCTAGGGCCCGCGCTCCATCCCCACAGCCATCTCAGGACAGGGGAACAGCCCTAGGGAGCTCGAGGACCCCCTGGTGGGGCTCCTGGGGAAACACTGGGGCAGAGAGTTCTGTAGTAAAAGCTCAGGTCCTGGGGCTACCTATGCCCAACCTGGGGGCCCACTTCAGTCACATGTGGGCAGGAGCTGAGCTAGAACCGACACTCCCGCCAACCTCTGACAAATGGGGAAACTGAGACTCAAGCCTCACCAAGGCCATGCTTTTCCACGCCCGGCCCAGCCCCCCACTACCCTCAATCCAGGTGCTGCATAGACTCACGGCTCCAGCCTGTAGACATACTGCCCGTCAGGCGTGCGCTCCTGGCGGTAGGTTAGGCTGTAGGCAAGCATGGTGCCCACAAGGCTGCTCAACTGGAGCTTCTCACGCGTGCTGTACAGCTGCGTGCTCACCTGCGGGCAGGTAGGTAGGTAATAGGTAGGAACACTGAGCACAGCCAGGAACCCAGTCCGGCCGGAAGCCGCACCCTCCTTCTGGGTGAGGCACTCACAGGGCGAAGCTTAGGCACGAGGATGTCCAGGAGCAGGCAGAGGGTGTCCAGGACGAGGGCCTGGGGCGCTGTTTGGTTGCGAGTGGCCGGAGCAATACCTGACACCAGTGTCTGGATCAGGTTCTGCACCTGACTTGTCCGGTTCTGGGCCTGGGGTGGAGGGTAAACCAGAACCAGGTCAGCCAGGACCCCCCAGGATCCCAGGCCCAGCCTAGACAGGGGCGAGGGGCAGGGTGCAGGGCACACCTCCTGCTGGCTACTCGGGAAGGCGATCCTTGGCACATGGCTGGAGGCGAACAGCAAGTGGAAGGCCACAAGCAGGAAGGGCTGGTAGCGCAGCAACTGGAAGCTCTGGCTGTGGTGGGCGGCCTGGCCCAGCATGTCCTCAAAGGCTAGCCAGTCCAGGGCCGTACACACGGTGCCCAGGCTGGAGTCCCGCAGCCGCAGCCGCAGGAAGTTGTCAAACAGGCCCTGTGAGTAGTGGGTCCCTGAGCCGCTCCAGCATCATGACCCCCCCACAGCACAAGGGACCCTTCACTGCCCATCTGCCCTGCCAAGTCCGGGGACTCAGGATAGCACCCGAGTGGCCACATGTGAGTGCCCACATGGCCCTGAGGGGGTGCCAGGAGGGCCACCTGCTGCCCCCACTCTGGTTTGACCAAGATCCTGGGATGTGCAGGAAAGAACCCCCCACCCCACCCCTCCCTAAAGGGAGTCTGTCCACCAGAATTGAGGCAGAGCCCCCACTCTCCTTCTATATAGACGTCCCTTCCCCTCCCGCACTTGCTCTGCCCGCTGCAACCATGGGTTTCTGGATTTGCACGGATCCCTAACCACTAACCCAAAGAGGCTGTTAGGGAGACAGCTTAGGCCGGGCTTTCAAGGTTGGGGGTGCATCTCTGCCACCTGCTCAGGCCAAAATCCCTACCTGCTCTCTAATCCCCATTCCCACAGCTCATGTCCAGAATCAAGCCCCACCACCCCCTGCCACTGAATCAGGCTCCCCAGCTGCTGCCACACTGCCCCTCACATTGGTTCCCAACTGGTAGCCAGTGATCCCATCAATCAAAACGACCCCCATCCCCACACCCAGCCCCCTGCCATGCTGGTGGCCACCCCCCTCCTAGCACCAGCCTCTCCTCTGGCCTCTGTGCTGCTCATATTCCCGAGGCCTCTCTGATGCCCTGTCTGCCCCACCTCATTCCCATCCCACCTGCTTCTTCTAGAGCCTGGCACTATCTGAACTGCCTCCTGTTCATTGTCTGGGGACAAGGGAACACCCCCAACACGGCCCCCTGGAAAAAGGTTCAGGGAGAGTGCAGTTACCTGGACGACCTTCTCATGCTCGCCCGAGGAGGCAGCCACATGCAGGATATGGTAGAACCGCTGTGCAGCCATGGTCAGGGGTGCCTCGGCAGCCCGGTGCCCCAGCCCCGTGAGCCCATCGCCCAGCAGGAGCGTGTGGGTGGGCAGAGTGGGGTCCTGGCCCACACGTCGCCTGCAGAAGGGTTGCTGAAGCTGGAGTGGAGCCCCACCCACTTTATTCCTGTGGGCAGCACCCTCCCGACTCAAGGCAGCCCCAAGGAGGCGGCAGTGAGGGAGGCCGAGGCACAGCCTTGAAAGCAGGGCCCAAGCAGCCTTGGGTTTCTGTTGGCAGAACGGGGGGTGGGGGGTGGGGGGTGGAGGGGGCTGCACACGCAGGGTTTATGTCCAGGGCTGGGGGCACCATAGGTATCCAGGCTGAGCCTGGCTCGCCCACTCTTTCTGCCCACCCCCTCTACCTCTGGGCCCGGGGCAGCTGGAAGACCTCCTGCCACACGGAGAAGAGCCCCTTGCGCTGGTCCTTGAGGCCGACTCGCGTGGTCTGCACAGCCTGAACACTCAGCTCCCGCTGGCCTCGCCCGTGCAGGAACTGGACACAGGGTGTGGGGGTTGAGAGGTAGCTGCCCCCTGTCCCACTCCCCCACAGCCAGCTTCCTCCCGCCCACCTGCAGGGTGTTGATGCAGGCTCGGATGTCATTGTCTGTCTTCTCACAGAGGGCTGCTAGGGCACCTGGGTCGACCTGCAGGCCCTGCCGTAGGGAGATCTGCAGGAGGAAAGAGCACGGCTATCCATCCCCCTCTCAGAGCTCCACCCTGTAGCCACCTCCTCCCTAGAAACAGGTGAGTAGCTGCTCTCATCCTACAGGAGACAAAAACTACAGATCCTGTGACTGATCTCGGTCCCCACTAGGGACCACCCACCGCCAGAGATCAAAGTGAACCAGTCACCCTCACCCCAGGACCTGGGATGGGGGGGAAGGGAGTGGCAACAGCAGAGGGGGTAGTGCCCTGGGTGGCAGAGGGGAGGGGTGTAGAGAGGTGGGGAGGGGAAGATGAGACCATGACAGGAGTCACGCCCACCCTGTCGTCAGCCATGCAGCCCCAGCCCTGTGCCCCACCTCCGCACCCCCACTGACCTCCTGCAGCCGCTGTATGAGTCTGGAGGGTAGTATAGGTGGAAAGTGGAGCAGGAAAGCCTGCTGCTTCAGCTGCCGCAGAGAAGGCGCGAACCTGCAGATGGGCACAGGGTGTGGGGGGAAACCCTCATGCCAAATCCCAGCCTCAAATCCACTGGGTGGCCAGGTGGGGCTAGGATGTGCCAGCCCAGGGGCCCTCTGCCCTCCTGTGAAAGCCCCGCCCAGTGGAGCACCCTCAGGCCCTCAGCTTCAAAACCCTGCCCCACCCTACTCACTGGTCATTACAGATGCAGATGACTGGCCTCATCAAGAGACCCCCCTCTGCCCGCGGCCGCCGCCCCTCACCCGCCAACATGGCCCGGCCCCCCAGCTCTGCCTCCTTCGGGCCCTTGCGGTCAATGATGCTGAGGAGCACGTTGATGGCAGCCTGGGGGGACATGCAGCGGGTGCAATGAGCCACAGCCCAGATTGCCCGCCCACCCACCCACTGGCCAGGCACCCAGGAGGCCCACCGTGGGGGCCCCATCGATCTCATCGATAACCAGGCAGTTGGGCTTCCCACCAATGCCCAGCACCGACTCCATCTGCGTGGCCGCCTCAATGTGCGTGCGGAAGGCCTCAGGACTGCGGTCGTCACTGTAACCATAGAGCAGGGGAGGGGCCATCAGGGCAGCTGTGGCCGCGGCCAGGGCAGCAGCCACTGTCCCTGGCAGGATGATCTCCCAGGGCCAAGCTGCTACACTTACACCTCGAGGCTACCCTGCGACATGACTGCTCCAAATCGCGATGCCCCGAGGACCCCAGTGTCCCAGATTCAACCAGACAGATGAGGACAGACACGAGGCCCAGAGGTCAGGCCTTCCCTTCCACTCACCTTGCATTCATTTCCACCACACAGTACCCAGCATGCCTTGCGATCACGTGGGCCAGAGTGGTCTTGCCCAGCCCAGGGGGTCCACATAGCAACGCTACCTGCAACCAAGACACAAAGACGGGCTGCAACCTGCACCACATTGGGGAGAATCTGACCCAACCACCACGGCTGATAATCCTGTCCCATGAGGCGTGGTGCCAGGGAATGTCCGTATCACCCCACACCCACCCGTCATCAATGAGAACCCCAGCATGCCCATGGCTCAGAACGAGCACTTCAGAAAGAGAGAAAACCCTGAATAAAGTGATGGGGAGACCTGACAGGGCCACAGCCGTTACTGACCCCTCAGAACCACTCACTGTCCACCACAATCATCCTTCGGGAGGTGCTGGGCCCTCGAGGGACACTGACCTTACCCAAGTCATTAGAACAACCAACTCCCGTTCACATCACTGACTCCCCTCCCGTCATCATGCCCTCAGCCACGCTGAGGGGCACACTGTGCGTGCCTTGTGGCCCCCGAGGTACAAAGGCACCAGCCAGGGAGTATAACCCCTGGGCTCAGAGATGCATGCAGTGCACAGAGGTGGGGCTCACTTTCTGCCGGGGCCGCCGGCTCAGGTCCAGCTCAGCCTCGAGCATCTCCTCCAACACCTGGTCGTGGCTTTTCCACTTGCTGGAAGCTGTGGCCTCCTTGCCAACCCGGGCCGGCTCCACACTGGGCCTGGGCTTCCGGGCCGGCCTCTCTCGGCCGAACACCACGAGGTCCCACAGCTTCAGCCACTTGAGGAGGCAGCGGTTGGTGAACTGCGGGAAGGGAGGTATTGCCTGGGAGGACCACCAGTGCCAAGGATTCCGTCCTGCCCCTCACGCTGTCCGAGGACACACACAGGGATGCTGAGGCTGAGTAACAAGTGACCCCCACTCATCCTACTGGTGAGCAGCAGAGTGAGGCTCACACAGGGGCCTCCATTCCCATAGCCCTGGCCCTGACCCCTCCAGGAGCCCCGGGGCACCCCGCCCAGGGGCATCAGTTGCTGAGAGGAAAGGCAACAAAGGCTACAGGCACGGGGTGCTCTGGATCCGCAGCCCACATCAGAGGTGACCAGCAGCATGCCGGCCCTGTACTTGCCTCAGTTTCCCCGTCTACAACTCAGCAAGGCACACCAGAGCCCTGCTTTCCATTCCAACAGGGCTGTGGGCTGGTGATATGTTATTTGGCTGGATCCTGAATTCCCCCCTCCTGGCAACAAGAAAGCCAGGCACACTTGAGCAAGTGCAAGGCCTCACATCGTCACTGAGCAGCTCCGTGTAGTGCCGGGGCGCAAATTCATCCACCCAGAGGCTGTGCGGGGAGTCTTCTTGGCGGTTAGCCGGCACCTCCTCAGGGGTCTCCTCTTCCATCTCCTCTGTCCTGAGGCTGAAGAGCATTGTGCCCTGAGCCGCCCAGCCTTCACCCCAGCAGGGATCACTCCCTGCCCAGAATTCAGGCCGGGGGTCAGTAGTTCAACAACTGCTGAAGGTTCCAGGAGCAAAAGGACCCACTACGTCACCTGTGCAGCGTCTCTGAGAGCCGCTGGGCCTCTTCGAGCAATCGCTGCCGCCGCTGTGCACAACAGGGGTTGGATCAGGATGGCTCAGACAGCCAGTCGCCCCAGAGCGACCCCTCTCCTCCCAGCGAACCCCAGCAGGCCCCACCTCACTGTCAACCTGCTCCTTCAGAGAAGCGAAAGACACACCCAGCAGGTCCAGGCGGCCACGGCCACGCCACTGGGTGCCCACGGAAGGGCTCTGTGGGGGAGAGAGAGCAGCAGTCACCTCTGGACACCCTCCTCGGTCACGGGGTTACCCATGACCCCCTCCCAACAATGCTCAGAGACCTAGGTGGCATCCCCCAGCCCCAGCCGGCCTAGAGATGGAGGAGTCCCCTCTCTCACTAAGGACTGGAGGAGCAAAAGCCACCAGGGATGGGGCAGCTCTAGGAGGGAGGAGAAGAAAGTGGAGGGGGCAGAAGAAGGGAAAGAGAGGAAGAGTCCCTCCTGAACTGATGGCTGGAAGCCCAGTGAACTTCCCGAGGAGCCCCCGGAGTCCTCGTGTGGACATGATTTCCGGGGCTGTGCAAGCCTGCCAACCCCACAGGGCAGCTGTGGCCAGCCTAGACA